CTCTCAGCATATGATCTAAGCTTTGAAGACTTCTTCCTGGGCCAAATCCTCTACCTCTCTGTTACAAAGAGTGGGAAAGAAGAATAGAGCAAGGTTCACTGGGTTACAGCTTTACTGCCACATCTGCTCTGACTGCAGAGGCATGGTTTGCAAACACTGCCTGGACCAAAAGCCAGGACAAACACACCAAGTTCTGTCTGCAGTTTATGTGCCTTCAGACAAAGAGACCATTTCAACATTTACAGCACTGGCTATATTTTGGCTCCATTGTGCTTCCCAGGAACTGCTGCTATATATGGACAGTATTGTATTAAACTTCAAGCTTGGGGGTTTTATTTCTTCAAGTTCAATTTTGGGGGTTTTTTTCCCCAAAATGTGTGGGGGTAAATGAATTAATATGCAATTAACTTACACCAGAGTCCTCAACAGCTATTTATGGGTTGAAATATCTCATTAATGAAAGCACAGCACAATAAAATCTGGCAGCAAAAGGTAAATCTATAAGCATCTTACTTCTAAGCCCCTTTTTCTCTACTACAGCTGTGTCTGACTGTGTTTTGGCATAAGCTAATCTCTATGTTCCCACACAGCTCAGTGCTCCTTTAGAACAACTGCATAGTATTTGGTGGGGGGGGATTGCATGATGTGAAATATTCCAGTTAAGAGCATTCACTCTGTAATTATTTTGCAGCCACACAATATCTAATTGGATTCTAGGACTTTAAAAAGGGATAAAGTAAACAATACTCTCACTGAAATATTCCAGTATCCCATTAACCATCTGCTTCAAAAACGCACTCCAGGTTTTAGATGCAGTAAAACAACATGTGAAAGATGCCATTGGATGTTAAAATTCATTATCATCATCAGTTTTATATGTCTTAGGAGCCATGAGTCCTGCTGATGGCAGGTAAGTTGAGGGATATCAAAAAAGAGGTAGCAGAAGAAAAGACTAAGCAAAATCCACAAAACATTTTTTCAGAGCAACATTGTTCCATTGAATACTACTTCTGGTTTCAGCTTGGACACAATTGTAATGCAGACCTGGAATGACCTGCATGGAATGGAGTGATGACAGAATCATTTTTCTAAAAAACCACTGCAGACTCACTCGGAGCAACAGAAGCTGAAGACAAACATGAAGGTTTCTTTAGTAGGATGAAAAAAGTGACCATTACAATTTGGAAGTTCACTACCATGTCTTCCACTGACAGCTAGCCAGTTCTGTATACTAGAACAATCTTCAAGTCTTCTGGAAGCAGGCAACATTTAGATACTAAACTGCTTTACAAGTGCTATTTAGACTGTTTGCTTCAGGTATACAATTACGGAGTTCAGAATTCCTTTTCTTTTTCAGATTTAACTCTGTGAACTGTATAGGGAATTTGTCTCTGAAATTTGAATTACATTTAAATAACTGATATATCCAGCCCCTAATCTTTCTCTTGCACCAAGTCACACATCTTACAGGGTATTTCTGGTGTTTAAGCCCATTGACAGCTGTGGAAATTTCTTGAATAGTAAGTGTAAAGAATAAAGACAGGAATGCTTGATAGCAATGGAAGAGCATTTTGCTCCCAGATCCACAGTGTTCACTAAGGATGATGGAGGCACTTTTGTCATTGCATGAGATTTAGCATGCTCTGCATTTTTCTAGATGACAGATAAGACAGAGAAGTTTATCCAAAACCTAACTAAACTAGCTGAAAATGACCCTGTGGGTTGGTAAGGGATTGTAGGTGTCCTACTTGAAATAAAAAATACCTACTTCCAGTTCCTTGTGCTCCCATGTTGCACAAATTCTTTTTGAGGAAGTGAAGAAGTTCTCTAGCAAAGGCGTTGCTGAGAATTTTGTCTTTTCTGAAAAAACCAATTCTTGCCATGGGTACTTCTGACCCAATTAGCCAGACGTAAGAAAGAAAGAAGCTTTATAGACATACCAGTCCCATGAAAATCATGCATCTGACAATCTCCAAAACTGATGAGGTGGTGTTCTCGCACCTTAAATGCTGGCTATAAGAAAACAGAAAGCATTCTGCCAAGAAGTAAATTAACAATGTTTGTATAAACATTTATTAGTCATTGTTGGTTTGGACTGAGATCCAACACAACAGGATGGATTTGAAACACAGAAAACTGAAGAGGTGAAACAAGGTGAGTACACATATGTACTTAGTACATGACAGTGACATACCCAAGTCACTGTCTTCACAAAGGATGCATTGAGAGAACCTTGGGAGGCTTTTTTTCTTCCAAAGCAGGCATTTTACACCACCAACCAGCCAGGCATTTATCAGCCAACCATCCAAAAGAGGGGAAAAAGAAGGCAGCTGGCACATAAACTGTGGCTGAAGGTTCACAAGTTGCTGCATTCCACGTCAGTTAAAATCACCATCCCTAAATGTAAATATTCTCCTGATAGCTCCTTGCCTCTTCCAGGAGTACGTATTATATCTCTTATTCTGATTTCTGAGCACGCTGACAAAATGCTCTAATAAAAGTTTGCTCTTTTGATTAATCACAAAATTAAGCAGCCAATGAGAAGTGATAAATTAAAGAGAGAACAAGCTTAATATCACAAAAAATTACTTGACCTTTTCCTCTTTCTCCCGACTTCCTCTCCTGCCCTTTTTCAGTAGATATGAGATATTGTGAAGCATCATGAAAATCTGGAAATATTCCCCTCATCACAGAAGAGTCCACTGCTAAAAGGCGTACCTGGTGTAAGAGATACCACATGTGACCACTCTGCTCTGGATACAACTATCAGGATCAAGGAAGATCTTTCAGCATTCTTTTAGTCTAAAAAAAGCACAATTCTTTCAATAGAACAAAGTTTCCAAATGCATAAAAATCTACTGTTTTGCTGTTACAGCAGCATGCCCAAGGATCGTGATGCTTGGAGTACTTCCACAGTAAGAAATGTCACACAGCTGTTCATTGGAAGAAACAGCCATACTTTACCCTTACTGACCACACCCAATAGGAAAGTGAGAAGGCAAAAAAAAAGGAAAGCAGACAAGAAATGTGAAGGTAGTGAACATCTTGCCTTACCTTTTTTTTCCATAGGATTCTTCTTTAGTAAACAAAATTATTAGTTAATACTACTTTTAATATGCAGAGTTTTATTCACTCTCTCAAGGCAAACTGCCAGAATTAAGCACAGAGAATAACTAAGAGCTCAAAATGCTGATCAAACTATGTGCCAAAGTACTTTTCCTCCCTTGCTTTCTTGTCTGCTGTAAAAGCAGTTATAGAAACCAAGCAGTGCTGCCATTAATTGCATTTACTACTGATGGCTTCCTTTACCTTGAGGTAAGCAGCCAGCTAAACAGAAAGAAATAAGCCTTCCAACAAGAACAGGAATGAGCAGGGTACTTGGTACAGCTACACAGTGGATTTTATAGTTTTAGCAAGCAGACATTAAGCATCTGGCACTGTTAAGAAACTAAGCACCTAAAGAGGCACATAGACGAACATAACACAAATAAAAGTGCTTGCCCATTGTTTAAAACTGTCTTACTAAATTCACCTACTGGATTTTATTGCTGTTTCTCTTTTCTTTTCCAGACAGTTTGCTCCACAACAATCTCTACCTGGATTTTGTATCTTTCCTTTGATGAGTAATGTGTCAGACAAGAGTTTGATGTCTGGCAGACCTATGCCTTCTCAGAAAGCATACACTGGCCCAGAAAAGCAAATGGATTCAAGTACCTGCCCCCATCAGCTCAAATCTCTGTGACAGAACCAGGTAGCAGCACTGCTTGCACAGGTTCAGTCACTTTCTCACAGTACCTGCAGCAGAAGTCTGGTTTCCTTCCTGTATAGCATATGATACAAAGAGAGATACAAAATGGTTTATGAGTAGCTGAGAGCTTTTGAACAATTTTACAGGCAACGTGACCCAAGGGCAGTAGGTGCACAAAGTTGCCTGATTGATACAAAGGAGGAGCTGCGTTGCATGGAGGGGCAGGGAAAATGTAAGAAGCTCTCTAGTCCAGTGAGCTGCTGACTTTTTTGTATCCATAGGAATATCATTCTAACAGCTTGTTCTGGAATACTTTCAAGTAAAACAAGGCCTAGGAAGTGGCTACCCTTTCTGTAGTAAGAAAGATGAGTATCTTGAGTCAACATTGGGAAATGAATAAGACAAGAAAATAACAGATTGATGTTACTAAGTAGAGAAAGTATATAGCATATATGGTCCACATATAAAAGAATAAAGCACATGGAAAAGAATAGCACCTCAGTAAGAAATGATCCTTGCAAATTCTACTATTAATCTAGCTCCTGAATAATTAGCATATTTAAAATACTTTCCATGATTCCTTCTTAAAATGCATTTCAAACTTTTTAGGTATCTTAGAACACTGATTGGGAAGTTTAGACAGTAAGTAGCAAAATGTAAAATGTTTCCAGAGCACCAGAGTATAAAGTTCTTTTCCTTACAAACAAAAGTATCTTTCAGGAATGGCCTCCAAGGTAAGTAAACTGATGATACTTTTTTTTCCAGTCAGATCTGGGGAGTTCTGAGTTTCAAGTCTCAATGAAGTAAAGGAATGTATTTACTGTTTTTTATCTTTGACTAAAAAAAAAAAAAATTAGCAGAGTGATAAAGACATAGTCACCTTTAAAGTGGTTTCTTCACAAGTCAAGACAGTTCTGATGCTTTTAGAAGGAAAAATCTGTGTGAATGACACAAAAGACACTCAAAGGAGCAAGTCTGAATTTATTCCAAAAAATCCTTTGGCTTCATACACAGAAACACCAGCACCAGAGTTTAGGGATAAAAGAAAAGCTCTCCCTACTATAAAGATAATTCCTTTTTATTTCTAGAAAAGGGGTTTTACAAAAACAGTAAAAATAGTTTTCCTCTGAATCTTCCAACAGAAGATTCAGACAATGCTCAGAAATGCTCAGAAAGACATAATCAAAGCAGATGAGCTTCTATCATTAAATCCTTCTCAGAGAAAATATTTGGACTACTATCAAATTCTTACCTAGACCACAGAAGCAGGACAGAAAATGTTCATGTCTGTGTTTTATCCTCCTTTTCTTTGCTTAAAAGGATTTTGATTAGTAGGCATAAGGAATAAGTGCTAGCTCTCATTTCCTGGGGAAAAGTATGCCCTTTGTCCCATGTGGGCAGAGACTAACAGCTGCAATCTACCTATTCATTTCTGCTGGTGACATCATTCTAAAAGGGTTGGTTCTTCAAATACAGAAAGCCACAAGGGACTGATCATTTGGGGCAATAGTCTCCTTATCTCATAGCCAGACACAGTTTTGACCAAAGCTTTATTTTGTATGAAAAAGAAAATATAGGGCTCTCAAAATTAGTAAATTTCACTCTAATTTCACTTCTGGTTTAATTTAAAAATGCATTGGCATTTTCAAAGCTTCTTTGTTGCCATTTCATGATTACTATTTGCCTGCATCACCATCTTGTATTTACCACCATGTGAAAACAGTTTACTTCATAAACCACAAAAGCCTTTTGATATTCCTTTCAGTGTAGCATTAATAATGTAATCTGATGCCCTGGGCATTATGCTACATAGTTTATCAACAGCACATTAACCACTCAGTACTTTCTGCACAGTGTTGCTATATTATATACCAACAGTTTCTGCCTAGATCACATCTATTTTGACTGAGAAAAAATGTACCATCTTGTCACTAGCTGATAGTTATTAATTGTGGTCTCATCCCAGAGACATCAGAATATGATTCTTGAGAGACCATAGACAGTCATTCCACATAGCATCTGAAAATGAAATTTCAGATTTACAGGAAAGGCTGCAATTCTTCAGCAGACTCATATACAGCAGAGCTCTTACTGCAACATCTTTTTTCTGACCTTGCAAAATCCATTGTTCTCAGAATTACAAAATGGTTTCAATTGGAAGGTACCTCTGGGTTTGTCTTGTCCATCCCCTCTGATCAACTAGGGCAAATTTTCTCATCTGTATCCAGCAAGAAGCATATGAATACCAAACATGAAAATCCAGCCCCTTGCTACAACTCACCAGCTTTTTAACCAGTCTGACAAAGAAGGGAGATGTGGTAGTGGCAACACTCATCCTGGCTTGCCTCACTGCAGGCTGCAAGGGGCAGTCAGCCTATCCAACACCCTCCATCCCAGATCATCAAACCTCACACTGCCTGGATCATGACTTCAGCATCCTTCATATTCATTGTATTCAAATAGGTGCTTTTGCTTTCTTCCAGCTTATCCCTCATAGTTTTCATCCCTGCAACACACCTATTTTACTGTTATCCTCAATTTTATCCATTCTTCTTTGCTGTAGCAAGCCCAGAAGATTAGGCAAAACAAGATCATACATTTTAACTTTCCTTAAACTTCACTTCTGTTTGAAAATTTTGAGCTTTCACAGTCTCAACTGTGTTTAAGATATTCATATCACTGTTTGGGCTCAGACAAAAACTTGATGTATTTTCTGAAGAGTCTCAGGCTGGATGATATCAGAAATTCCAATAAATCTTTTCTTGCTCATTTTTTAAATGGAAGCTTAAATAAAATCATAGGAGTATCCAAAAATTAACTCTAAGGAATATGAGAGAACTGAAATCAAGAAAATTATGCTAATATTGTTTATGTTAAATCCAATACACAGAGATGCACCTCACAGCTGCTCTTCCTACAAACGTACAAGGAAAAAAGATATTTTGGCCAAAATAAGTGAAAATCAAGCAGCATGTTCAGATTTTAATGATAGTCAAGAAGCACCTGGGCAATTCTCATAGGTGCATAGTGTGATCCTGGGGTTGTCCTGTGCAAAGCTGGGAGTTGTGAGTCTCTTCCGACTCTGGATATCCTATGACTCTGATTCTAGAGAAGTAGTTTTGTAAAACACAGACATCTAAAGAATGAGGGCTGAGCCTGGGACATGTCTGTCCAAACATTTCTTGAATTCTGTCAAGTTGGTGCTGTGACCACTTCCCTGGGAGTCTCTTCCAGTGCCCAACCAACCTCTGGGTGAAGAACCTTTTCCTCGTGTATAACCTAAACCTCCCCTGACACAACTTCATGCCATTCCCTCAGATCCTGTCACTGGTCAGCACAGAGCAGAGATCAATGTTTGCCTCTCCTCTTCCCCTCAGGAGGAAGCTGTACACTGCAGTGAGGTGTCCCCTCAGCCTCCTCTTCTCCACACTGAACAGACCAAGTGACCTCAGCCACTCCTCATGCGGCCCTTCACTATCCTTGTGGCCCTCCTATGAGGGTTTGTGGCCCTCCCTGAGAGTTTGCTCTTCCTTACATTGCAGTGCCCAAACCTGCCCCCAGCACTGGAAGTGAGGCTGCCCCAGCTCAGAGCAGAGCAGGACAATCCCCTCCCTTGCCCAGCTGTGCCAGATGCCCCCCAGGACAGAGCTGGCCCTCCTGGATGCCAGGGCACTGCTGACTCATGTTCAACTCTCCATGCTTCATAATGAATAAAACATTTCTAGGTTAAGTCCATATCTTAGGAAATGAGACATAATAAAGTTAAACAAAAAGCTGCTGAAATGCTACTAATTTTAAATATTTTGGCTTTCTATCAAATCAGAGATCTTCAGCTTTGGTTTTAAGTTATTTTAATCACAAGAAGTATGATTAAAATACCTGAAGTTCTAGATGCTTAACACTCCCAAATGCAATGTATAAGTCTTTAATTACGTATCATGGGCTGAAAAGCTTGTATGAGAAGAAAAAGATAACTCTTCTATAGTCTTCTTGAATTCTGTAACTGCCCAGGCAGGGCAAGGCAGAGCTTTTAGAGGGGGAAATAAGCTATTAAAAGTTACAAACAAAACATATTGTTGACTGGGCTGCATCTGTGTTTCTTAGATTCCCATGTTGCAGTTGGTTGAAAGAACCAGGTATCAAAAATATCAGGTATCACAGATGGGCACATGAACTTTTATTTATGCACAAAAAGATCCCAGCTGCTAAGCATTAATACCACAGATGGGGTTTTCATTACATCACTCTTTTCACAGAGGATGAACATATTCTGTGTTTATACAACTGCACAGAGAGAGATAGATTATTGGTTTTGCTTGATGCCAGAGAATCTGAAACTTCTGCAGTAAATAATTATAATCACATAAATAGCTGTCCCATCCAGCATATTCTCATTTTTGTAATGCCACTGAAGACAATACTGATCAGCACCAGCAAGAATTCAATCTTAGGGGCAGAATCAAACTCTACCACTTCAAATTTTGACACAAATGAATAACAGACTTTGAAAATTGAGTATAAAAGTTGTGCCTCTTCCAAATCTAAGTGATTAGGTTTGAAATGGGTGATTTAAGTTCAAGGCAAGCAGGTAGTTCATAACCACAGCAGCTAGATTTGTGCTCATACTTCCTCCCATTTATCAGAGGCATTCTCCATTATCATTGAAAGGTCATGGCAACTCAGAGAATGTTCCTGAGGACTGGCAGAAAGCAACCACCACTGCTCTAATCAAGAAAGGCAAGAAGCAGGATGGGAGGAGCTATAGACTGACCAACCACACCTCAGTGCCCAGAAAGGTGATGGAGCAAGTAATCGTATAAACAATGCCATGAACAAGAAGAAAAATGAGACAAGTCACCATGGATTTAGAGACTACTCAGCCCTTGGTGAGCCTGCATCTAGAGGGCTGGGTCCAGTTCTGGGCTCCTTGGCCCAGAACAGTGTTGTGAAGATGGTTAAAAGACATGGGGGATCTGACATACAAGAGACCTGAGATTGTTTAGCCTGGAGAGCAGGGGTAAGGGGTAAAACTCAGGGCTAATCTCATCAATGAATATAAATATCTGATGTGACACAATAAAGAAGACAGAGCCAGATTCTGCTCCGTGGGGCCCAGTAACAGGACATGAGGCAATGGGCACAAATAGAAATCCACAAAATTAAGCTTAAATATAGCAGAACCTTTATTACTGCAAAGGTGATTGATGACTGAAACAGGTTGCCTAGAGAGGTTGTGGAGTCTCTCTTCTTCACTATAATCAAAACCAAACAGGAGAATGATCCCAGCAACCTACTCTAATTGAAGCATTAATGTTGAACTAGATGTTTTTCTTCCACCCCCAATAATTCCTCTTTACCAGGACAAAGCTAGAAGAAAATTAATATTTCATTATTTCTAGGTACCCTTTCTGGTTGTGGCAATGAAGCACTAAATTTGTGTTCATAGCTGTCAACTCTGTGTTCTTTATACACCTTACATCATGAGGTCTGCTTTCCACATTTCTTTAGTAACAGAGAGTTGTTCAGATTATTACTTGGCTCAGAAAGATAAAGTCATGAGTAGAAAACAGAAGAACTAATGCAAAAGGAAAAATATGAAGGCCAGTGACAAAATTTCTCTCCCTAATATCATTAGTGCATGGCCATGTCTCTCACTCAGTTCATAAAAGGTCATGGAGGGAAAAATCTCTAAATTTCACTAGAAAGTATAGGCCTTAACCAGAACACCTGATTCCACAAAACAAGGATATAGCTGTGCCCCTTTCTTGTAATACAAGGTATTCCAGGTCTGCAAGGGCACAGAAGTGAAGTTCTGGAATAGAGCTTCCAATCCTGGAAGTGTCTCTAACCATCTTGTTCTTCTCCACATGGCAGCTGCTTTTCAGAAACCATTAAAACCTCATGTCATTTCACCTTTTCTCTAATACATACCACTCAAAGGAAACTAATTCCTCATTATTTCTCTCACAACATTACAGAAACACAGAACAGAACTAAATAAAATGGAGACCTACTATGCATGTGCAATGGCCGTTTTCTCCACAAATTTCTCCATACCCCAGCTGTTTCAAGGGAAGGAAGTGGTATATATCCCTCCTCCTCAGAAGTCATGGCATAATATAAAACAACTGGAATGGAATAACTGGGTTTTGGTACCATTCATTGACTGCAGACAAATGAATTCACCACACACCATCTTATGCAGCCACTAAGGAAAATAATTTACTGCCAGGACAGCGTCTATAAAAATCTCTGACACTTCTCTCAACTCTATTCATCACAGCCTGGATTTATTAACTTGCAGAAGATTGTTTAAAACT